ACGAGAGTTGTACGTTTTGAGTAAAATGGTAGCACTGGAGTGCCTTTCCAATAATAAGCTCAAATAACACTACGTTTCAGCGTCCATTAAAAGAACCTCTCATTAAATAAGCCTCTAATTCACCTGGTCTCTTCGATTTAAAACAATTTCTCTTTCCGTTCCATTTCCAACTGCGTCTTCGCATTAACATTAAAACATTAAACCCTGTGTTTTCTTATCTGCAATAACACGTGCTTATCTTGAAACTAATTAGCCTACGTAGCGATAACAAAACACCTTGTCTACGACTGGAAGTAAACTTTTACAAATCCCAAGCACTTATTTCCAGATGTCTTAAACTAGTCTTTTATCACCTAATAAAGTTGAACAGATACATAAAATAAAAGGTGACTGTTTAAAAGTTAAAAATAATTGGAATCCACAAGTACTGTTATGTAGGTGTGGAAGCCAAGATAACGTCCGCTCAACGTATTTTAGACAACATATGTCTTATCCTTATACATATGGTCATATAAAAATAATCAAGTATACTAGTCCCAAATCCTCAGGGATTAGCGTTACTCTCTCTTTGCAAATTTTAGTCACAATCGTCTTTGAAATGAGGATGGACGCTTTAGAAACATTCAGAAGTGCTCTTACAAATATCTTTGGGACCTTAGGATTTCCTGAAAAACGATCCCTAGAGACAGTTTCTTTGGAAACTGTCGTAACTGGGACACACTGTACAATGTGTATGAAGGTATGTCCGTAATATTGTTGGTGCTACCAAAAAAGCAACATATGCGACCGCGAAGGGGAAATTGCGACATTGTTGAGGCAGGTTATCGCATTTTCTTGCGACAAGGAAAATCAAATGAAATTTATGAGTTTGAGCTTATTTCATATTACTGGAGAAAAGCAACATACAAAGGCACGGAAATGAGTAACTTCTACATTTAATAAACAAGTATCAAATGGCACAAATGCTATAAGAAAATTACTTATGCTACAGTTCTCTAAGAGCCTATAGCATTTTTGCTCAAAGTAATTTTTTCACAGCTTAAAACCCTGACATGTGGTCTTTATGGGTCAAACTTAAAATATTAAAATCAAAATTTGAAAATATTCCTCACCTTAACGATACCTACAGGGGAAAATTGTTCATTAGCATTAGGGGTTTAGCATCTTTATTTGGCCGCCAACGAAAGTAAGCAATATAATGATTCAAAAAGATTCGAAAAGATTCAAAAAGTTTCGAAAAGATTCAAAAATAGGGCATTATAGCTCAATGGTAGAGCGTTGAGTTAGAAATCCGGAGGTCGGTTATTCGAACCTGGGTTGAGGTGAATTTTTCATCTGTGGCAGAGATGGGAATTGCCTTAGACCTGTTTCGAACAACTTAAGATCTTCTGCAGAGGCACCTCTAAAAAAAAGCATTATGCGGGTCACTCTATAATTGGGCGCAAGTCTGTTGGGGGCCCAGAATAAGAGAGGGATAATAATAAAAAGATTCAAAAAGATTCAAACGGATTCAAAAATATTCAAAAAGACTCCATCAATTTCAAGAAGATTCCAAAAAATTCAAAAAGATTCCAAAAGGTTCAAAAAGAGTCAAAAAGATTAAAAAAGGTGGGAAGAAAATAAAAAAGATGCAAAATTCAAAAGGATTAAAAAAAAGGATTCAAATGATTCAAAATATTATTTTAAGCCATCGAATGTGAATCTTTTGTCAGAAATATGGGTGCACACACTAATTCATTGCACAGTGTCGCATTTTCGAGACGTTTGTAGGGTATGTAATTGTTACTACTATCAAAAAAGCAACATAAGCGCTATGTGCTGTTTTTTGCGTCAAACTGAAAATTCTAAAATCAAAACCTGAAAATATTCGCTCGCCAATCCAGAATTACCCTATACTTTCGTAGTTAAAGGAGCTACCGAAAATGTTTATAACAAAAGTTGTTTTTATAAATCATTATTGAATAATCTTCCGTTTTCAGATTAAGTATTATGGAGTCAGGTAAAAATACTTATCGGACCTCATTTCTAAGGGAAATTCGTCAATTTCAGGAATGCCTACCAGCTTTCGGACTAAGCGATGCAGGAATAATACGATAGTACCAATATACTGCCGAAAACACCAAAGTTCTACGATAATCCTTTGCCAAGATCTCGATAGATAAAGGTCCTCGAACAGGCAACAGTTAGTAAAACAATAAGCTCTTTTTTTGACAATAAAAAATTCAAAACAATTAAAAAAAGATTTCAAAAGAGTTCAAATGATTTGTTGAGTGCAAATTTAGTGGGTTATTTACGAATAAGTTGGTTTATTTTACTTGAATTTGTATGTTTTTCCTGTTAGAAAGTGTATAAATGAGTAATTTTCGTTTAAATTTTATCTATTTGTAATTGTTCAATTTAGATAAGGTGTTAGAAGTTTCGTGTTTTATCATGTAACGGTTTCACTTAATTTTATATAAAATTTAAATATTTTTGCCGCTTTAATTCAAATTTATTACCAAAAGGATAAACAAAGTCAAGGTAACAGGATGATGAGGGTCATCTCTGATAGCAAAAGGTGACCAGCCATTTGCCATTAGATTTTTGAATGGTCAAGTTATTCAGCTGAATGCATCTTAAGATTGTTAATTAAATAATTCTAAAGAAGAGCAAAATAATAAAGTTAATTAAACAATTTGTAATAATACGTGAGTATTTTCTTTCTGTAATGACGTATTCATATTTAATTATAATTTTCAGATCTATATGATAGGCGCCTCATGGCTACCCTAAATTAATTATTTAATCTTATACTATATGTTTGGAACCCAGTTCATCCTGGTAATGCATTAAATTAATCTGTAGCTGCTTGGAGGGTTCTTTTAAGTAATTATATAATTTCTATCGAAATATTAGAGTTGCCCTAGAATTGGCACTCGTAAGCAAATCAACATCTAACGTAGCAGTCAAAATAAATCTATCCTATTCCAACCATCGTCAACTCCAGCAGCTCCAATCGTCAAGGTCTTCAACCGTCTTCCGAAGTAAACCGTCTAGAAAAGGTCAGACTGTATCGTACACTTACAATCATATACAAACATAACACCATAAAATTGTACTTACCAATAAGGTATCCGAATTCTGTAAGAGATCTCCGCGACAGGTCACACCTCCATCTCACACGATCAGTCGGACAACTAAAATCAAATATTGAGCAATTAACGTTTGATAATTTTGAATAAAATTAAACTTACCCTCACGTTGTTCATAATTTAATGGTCAAATTACCAGAACGGGCTAGTTAACGTCACGACCCTGAGAGTACTTTCCGCGCATAGCCCTGGCGCCCTTATATCATTCATGCTCTACCATCAGCCGAGCGCAACAGGGTATCGGTTCAAATGTATCCGCCATTACATTAAGATAACAAAACCGTTTTCACTTACCCGGTAGCAACAATGGTATAGTACTGAAAGCTCCAGGACCAGTAGGTACCTCATAAAATGTCCGTACCAAAGATCACGTTGCAAGTAGGTACTGTCTTAGAGTGCTTCTCTTTGTATGTAATAAGTGCTCAAAATGAACGTGGAAGGAGCATAAAAAATAATCTATTTCAAAGGCCATAGGCGAGGAAAATGATACACTTTCAGAATCTGATTGACTTTTACAAATATACTTAATATTTACGTATAATATTACACGTGTGCATTCTGTTAATTACAATTAAGACATAAATACGTTTATTTTGTTACAATACACCCTTTACGTTACTTTATTTCGGCATTGTAACAGTGGGGTACTTTAATACCCCACGCCACGCGAGTACTGGCGCAATAATATCCAACGCGAGAACCGCAGTGGATTTTATCACAGTTTAATCAAAGAGTAAGTAATGGGTACTCTTTGGTTTAACCCATAAATCTTACCTCTAAAATAGTTATAAATTTATAATTAAAACAATGTCATAGAATACTTTGACTCCACTGATTTGCATGGAAATTTGGATTTAGGTTAT